AAAATGTGTTATTGAAAGTATAAAATTAAGCTTAAATACATAAAAATGTTTGGGAAACCACAATGAAGCACGAAGCATTCAAAGTGTAAACACAATCTATTTACTACATTGTAAGTCGTTTATCTGTTAAAGTCAGTGTTGTTGTTGTTAACTAAACCATAAACTAAAAGTAAAACTACTAAAAAACGCTTTCGGTAATTGAAGTTGAAAATGTAAACAAAAATTTGAAATGCACAAATCAAAGCTATATACAGTACACACACACACACACATATATATATATACACATACATATACACACACACACAGGTGCATCTCAAAAAATTTGAATATTGTGGAAAAAAAAAATGTGTAACATTTCAAAAAGTGAAACTCATATTTTCTAGATTCATCACATGTAAAGTAAAACATTTCAAAAGTTTTTTGTTTAAAGGGGTCATATGATGCGATTTCAATTTTTCCTTTCTTTTTGGAGTGTTACAAGCTCTTGGTGCATAAAGAAGATCTGTAAAGTTGCAAAGACTAAAGTCTTAAATCCAAAGAGATATTCTTTATAAAAGTTCAGAGTCAGCCAGATAACGTTCGGGGTTCATTACTGCAGTTATATCTGATCAAATGCACATTATTATTCTTTAGCTTGGGTTAAATAAATCAATTTTGCTTGGTTGGAACAGCAGCTACGCTAATTATGTCTCTATTTGTTTCTCTGTTTAACTAGGATTTACACAAGCTTCAGTCTGGATCCAGTACACCTGAGAAGAGATGATGCCAACCCCCCAGAGGACCTCAGATGATGCCAACCTTGAAACAACATACAGAACTACCAAATTTTGCTATAAGTTTGATTGCATCATATAATAATTGCTGTTAATAATGTTCATCGTCTGTTTGATTACGTCTTTAATTGATTTTTCCGTACATTTCTGCCATATGTACATTAACTGACAGTCACCACTGATAAGCTACTACTAAATATTGTAGAAACTTAATTTGCTGCTGATTTGCAACGATTTGTATCATGAAAAGCGTTATACAAATAAACTTGAATTTAATTGAATTGAATTATTGTTGAATCGACGGTTTCTCATATTTCTCTTGAAAATATCCCATAGATTCCATATTGGGTTCAGGTCAGGCATGTTGGCTGGCCAATCAAGCACAGTAATATCATGGTAAAAAAAACACTTGGAAGTGGTTTTGGCACTGTGGACAGGTGCTAAGTCCTACTGGAAAAGGAAATCAGCATCTCCATAAAGCTTGTCAGCAAATGGAAGCATAAAGTGCTCCAAAAGTCCAAGTCCAGTCTCCTGGTAGACGGCTGCATTGACTTTGGACTTGATAAAACACAATGGACCAACACCAGCAGACGTCACGGCACCCCAAATCATCACTGACTTCGGAAGATTCACACTGGACTTGGAAGTGAAGTGACTTGGTAGCCCTTTTTCTGAAGACGTCTGAGCGTGGTGGCTCTTGATGCACTGACTCCAGCTTCAGTCCACTCCTTGTGAAGCTCTCCCAAGTGTTTGAATCGGCTTTGCTTGACAGTATTCTCAAGCTTGCGGCCATCCCTGTTGCTTGTGCACCTTTTCCTACCCATTTTCTTCCTTGCAGTCAACTTTGCTTTTAATATGCTTTGATACAGCACTCTGTGAACAGTCACCTCTTTCAGTAATGACCTTCTGTGACTTACCTTCTTTGTGGAGGGTGTCAATGATTGTCTTCTGGACCATTGCCAAGTCAGCAGTCTTCCCCATTATTGTGGTTTCAAAGAACAAGAGATACCCGGAATTTGTACTGTAAGGATGGTCATTTAATGAAACTCAAATGTAAATATTCTAATATTTTAAGATACTGGATTTTTGACTTTCACGAGCTATAAGCTCTAATCATCAAAATTAAAACAAAAAACCTTGTGAAATGTTTTACTTTACATGTAATGAATCTAGAATATATGAAAGTTTCACTTTTTGAAATGTTACAAAAAAAACTTTTCACGATAGCACCTGTATGTATGTATGTATGTATGTATGTATGTATGTATGTGTATATATATATATATATATATATATATATA